AGCCATCTTCCCTGGATAACTTTTTCAGTCTTTAAGATTAGAACCAGCCATAGTCAGCCCAATCCACCACCTCAGAGGCCATTCAGGCACTGCTCTGTGACCCCATGCCAACGTTGGGAATAGCTGTCTCACACTTTAGCACTATGCACTCAAAAAGTGCCAATCCATCTGTCTTATCGTCATAGTTCCTTGAGGGGAAGAGCTTCAATACTCTTCCTGCAACCTCAGCACACCATCAGGCACTGCTCAATAAAAATGCATGAAACCAAAATACAGAAATCATTTTACTCTTGTCCCTTAGCCCCTAGATCCAGCAAGTCACCTACTCTGGCAGAATCTACTATATTACCATGTCTATTTCATTCAAGTAACATTTACCAGACATAACCTCGAGTGTTCACTGTGGTAGTTGCTTGGGTACAGAGAGGACAATAACATGGTTCCTGGCCTCCAAGGAGGAGAGAAATCATAGGGCTGATTTCAGTACAAAGTAATAGAACCACAATAAAACAAGGGCGATAAATCATAGGGAGGTTTTAAAACAGACACAGACTACCCCAAAAGCATGGAGGAGGTTGACCTCAACAGAGGATGAACAGGAAGATCACCACGCTTGCTGGGAATTTCGTATTACTTCTCTACTTCAAATCTTTGGTTCTCCTGAAATTCAAATTCAGGGCCTTCCTCATAACCTGACCAAAGCAAATGCTTTTTCTCCAAGTCATATGTTCCTCTTAATGACAAATGTGCTGTTTTGTTGGAAAAAAGAAGTCTTGCTCCATATATTCAACTCTGTTAACTTTTTATGAGATTTTCTTTTTTTTTCTTTTGGTACCAAGAATCAAACTTGGGTCCTTGTGCTTGTGAGGCAGGCAGCAGCACCACTGAGCTAAATCCCTGGCTGGGACTTTCTTTTTGTCTCTCCCTTTATATTTCTTGTATATACCTCTAATTTTCTTGTATATACCTCTTATTTTCTTATCTAGACTATTAGGAAAAATCAAATACAAGTTTATAATTTAGGGGGATTCTGTACATTAATACAGGAATGATACAAAATTTTATTTGAAAGTAAAAACAAAATGTTTTTAAATAAGTCACACATGTGTAAACACCGAATAGTCTCTCTGGTGTGAATAAACTGTAATAATACATAAGATCCTAAATAAGATTACTGACATTGTGAAATGGGAAGAAATGGGCTATAAAGATGTAGGGAAGGTGGGATGGGTAAGGGAAGGGTAATAAGGGACAAGAAAAAATGTGAGATAATGAAAAGATGGAAATAAAGTGTTTGTAGATGGGGAGGGGAGGAGGGGATGAAGGGAGGGCAGGGACAAGGAGAAAAAATGAGAACCAAGACCTGTCATGTAGAGGTGCAAGATCCCAATGATGAATGTTACTGTACTGTATACCTAAAATGTACCAATAAACTCAATTAAAGCTGAAAAAAAAATGTTTTAAAAACAAGATTTTCACTCTATTCTCCCTTCCCCCCAAAGCAACCATTTATTAGAGTTTTTTTAAAGGTCCTTCCCAAATAAGTCATCTATGGAATTCTATAAACAAAGACTATATATTTACTTAATATTTTCTATATGTGTCCTGGCAAGTCTCTTTAGCTTTCCAGTTATACATAATTTAGTCATTTCATCTTTGATAAATGAGTATTTTTGCCTCTTCCTTCCCAATATTTATGTTCCTTGCTTCTTTCTCTGACAGCACTAGCTAGTAACTTCTACAGCAGTGGCAAGTAAGACCAGTATGACTCTCGAGGCTCATTCTTGAGTCAAATGGAACCATTTGATACACTGTCAGCTCTGGATTTGAGTGTGCACATATCCACATGTAAATGGTCTTGTACATATTACACACACTACACAGTAATACATTCACATTTCATTGAATTCACTATAGAAAAGATACAAAATAAAACTGAAAGATACAAAATGATATAAACAGAGCAAAAAAGAAAGCCACTTTTCCCTTCCTTTACCAGTTAGGCATGTATCTTCCAAGACTTTTTTGCTACGTGTTTGAGAAAATACATAATAAAGAGCAATTTTTAAATGTTTACCTTCTGCACACATGGGTTCATGCTGTGCCTATAACTTTACACCTTGCTTTTGTCACTGTATCCTGTATTCCTCCTGGGACAGTGCCCATACATCTGCTTTATTCTTGTTAGCTGATACTTTTTACATGACTCTGTTACATGTGCATGTGTAGCTACTGTACTTGCGTTTTCCACACCATTTCACCAGTGGAAAATTCTGAGTCTTGGCAACTAAAGGTCATTCTGCTAAGGAGGCACTCACCTATTCCCATTCTGCTATGAGATTTTGTTTTTAGGAATAGTTTTTTTTAATTATCTACTGATCCCACTGAATAATGGATGCATAGACCTTGGGGGTAAAAGTTACTCAACATTTTAAAATATTACTCAAGCTCTTCCAATTGCCATTTACTCTTGAACTTACTACCACCACCACTCCCCCCACCCACATCTCTCAGCCTGTTCACCTGGCTTGCCTGTCTCCCGCTTGCTGTCCCCCTCTGGTAACCTCCAACCTGGCTATTGCCTACTTTTCTGCCCACATTTACAGTGGTAATGCTTCTTCACTTTGTGGCCTATTTGCCACACTTCGAAATGAACTTGGAGCACAGATACATGGTGACCCTTGAAGACAGGTTAGGTTAGGATGCAGCCCAAAGCACACCCTGTCAGGCATCCTGCTTCTTCTTCCAGCTTGCTTGTCTCAAACAATACTGGTCTACACTTCCAATTCAGGGAGTGGCATATTCAAAGTGAAAATAGGGCCAATTGGGGCTTTTGGTAATTCCCAATTTGAAGTCGTGCTCCCTACTGATAAGATACACAAAAAATAGCAAAAGAAGGAAAGGGGTAAAAGAGGTGAGAGATGGGCACATCTACACAAACTTCTCATAGGGACGAATTACAAGCAATCACCCAGCAGGGATCTCCAAGGAAGTGAAATAATGTAGCTTAACTTTTATTCTGAAATGTGACCTTTCTGCAGCCAAAAAAAAAGGCGAACAAAGGGAAATCCCACCCTGCTCTCTATTAAAAAAAGATATTAAAAAAAATAAAATAAAAAAATTTAAAAAATGTTTACACTTGCTTATTACGGAATATACATACAAAAAAGTCAAAATAGCTGTGCTACTTTGGTGGGATTTTGTTTAAAATTTCCTTTTTATACATTTTCATAAAGTAAGTGTTAATATAGGAAAGCAAAAGACCTTACCAAAGTAATAAGCATATGAAAAAATTTTTCATTCAACACCCATTTCCTGAGTCCTTGGCAAAGTGTCAACCTCTTTTACTAGGATTATAAAATGCCTTCAAGAGATTCATGTTCTAACGAAGTAAACAAAAAACCAGATGAATTTTAATACCATGTAAGTGTCTACCATGTAAGTGTACTAGACTACATCCTTTGAACAAAATCCGGTTGAAACTAATGAGAATTCACTAGAAAAATATTGCAGTTATCTCACAAAAATTCATTAAGTCCAAAGAAAAACTAAAGGAATCAGGATTGTTCTTCTGCCAGAAAAGAAAGATGCTCTTCTCTCAGTTTAAATCTGAAAATATCCAAAAAAATTTTGGTTTCCCTATACCAGAATCTTCTCTGCAAGGTTCTTATCAGAAAAGAGATAAGTGAGGATGGGGGGAAATGGCCAGATCAGGCCTCAGGGATAAATCCTCATCTTGATACTCAATGAGAAGGGAACAAGTTATGAAGAAAATTGTAAAGGAGTACAAGAAAGGCTGTTAGGCTAATTAAGGGGCTTAAGACATGCAATCATAAGTAGAGACATACTTTAATATAGAATTAAATGGCTAGCATGTAATACAGGTTTTTTCACTGATCAATAAATCAGAACTAAAGAGAACAGTTATCAGACGGAAACATGGAGAAAAGCATCCCAACAGGGAGTTATTATTTATCCCATAGATAGCAGAGGCAGAGGTGGGGATATCATTAGATAACATGTGTGATCTGTGTAGTCCTTTTTTCTCCCAAAGACTGTAACAGACACATGGAACCTGATTTAGAACAGAAATGAATGACAAAAAAGAAAAAACAAAACAAAAAAAAAACCATTGATTTGAAAGTTGCTGCAAGTCAAACCGATAGGTTACAAAAGGGCCTGAAATAAAGTGAGGAAAAACAAAGGGAAAAGAGCCTATAGCTCAAGCTTTATCTAAAATTTTTTCTTTTTCTCTTTTTATACCATATGGTCACAACAAATAAGCCCTAGCCTGCAATATTATAGTATCCAACCAATTATAAGCTGCAAAAATGAACCTGAATTTAGGACAGTTAAGTTACAAACATTTTCTGCCAAATGATCTTTCAAAATACAGACACTTGATATAAAGAAATTCCACCGCATTGCATGAGGGTTCAGAAACAGCAAAGCTTATTTTAACTTCAGTGCTTAAACCAAATAATTACCCATTATCAGCGATCTAAATAGGTTTCCTAGCAATCCAGAGTATTTCTCCCAAGTGTGTTTCATCTTTTCAGTTCCCTTCTAATGTTCTGAATTCTTTGGCTTAGCTGCTGGCTATAAATAGAACATTTAGTGATTCGTTTCAACTCTTCTGCTCTTCTCTCCCACAGAGGTATAAGCATACACACAACACACATATATATGCACTAAATCTGAAAGTACACAATTTTATATTCTTTCACCTCCACAAACAATGGATAGATGGACTGTATGACTAATTTTTGGCGCTGGGGATTAAATCCAAAGTCTTCCCACTGAGCTGTATTCCTAGCTTTCTGTAACTTTCTATTTTGAGACAGGGTCTCACTAAGTTGCCTAGGCTGGGCTTGAATTTATGATCCTCCTGCCTTAGCCTTCCAGAGTGCTGGGATTCTAAGCATGCACCACCTTGCCCAGCTTAAGGCACTTCTTATTCTCCCCAGAATCAGTCTTATGTGCTATAAAAGAGTACCTACCTGCATATTCATAGAACCATTCTAAGCACCGCTTACTTGAGAAGGCCTCTTCTTCGGTCTTAATTCTAGCTGAATCGTATTTTCGATACATGCTAAAAATTAAAAAAGTAGTTTTAATTTATTTAAGGATACTGAGTTCTACAAAGCAGCAGATGACCTTTTATCTTTTACCTAAGCCATCTATTTAATCAGTTTATAAGTATAAACATTTTACTTCCTGCATTTTCAACCTGAAGCTTATATATAACTAGTGTTGAAATACACAGTCACACCTTAATTTAGAATTAAACAGTAAGCACTTAATACAGGTTCTTTTGCTGATAAAAAAAAACATACAGAATTAAATAGAAGTTATTTGATATACTCTCTACTGCTCACCAGCCAAACTTAAATACAGAATGAAAGTAAGAAAGACTCAGTTGCTTTCTTCAATTTATGATCCTAAAAATGACTTATGTCTCTCCATTAAGTTACTGGCAGGTTGAGTACAAAGCACTGCCTAAAGAACCACGTGTCAATCCCAGGCAACACAGAGAACATTAAGCAAATAAAAAGAAACATCAACTCATGTCCAAGCTTCCTGGAAAAAAATTCAGGTGTAAGGTTGACAAGACAAAGTCCCTCATATGGCTCCCTGATTGCTGTAACTCTCCAAGCCTCAAGACAAAATAGAGACAACCCTGGCTCCTGCTGCCCTCACACAATGCCAGTGCTGTGGAGGAGCCAGCCTAACCTGGACAGCCATCAGCAGCTTCCTACTGCAACTCAGCAGGAGCTCCTGAGCTCATACCCAGGGCTGAGGATGAAGAGCTTCCCCACATGGAGAGGGGAGAAGCAACAGTAGCTCAAAACCATGACTTGGGAGCTGGGGATTTAGTTCAGTGGTTCCACCTCATGGCTCAAAAGCTCACGGTCCTGAGTTCAATCCCCATTACCAAAAAAACAAACCCCACCATGACTCAGATATTAATATTATGAGTATACACATTTTAATCCACTATTTATATATAAACCAGGTCTGTCCATAAACATTTACATAATGTAAAATATAAAAAATCATACACTGCATAATTTTTTCTTACTGAACATTTACTAGATTATACATACACCTGATTAGAGAGTCTGGGTTTTATCATCAAAAAAAGAACATGGTTACAGGGTGTTGTTACTGAAAGTGCAAATCACAAATTTCCTATTTCTTTCTTAAGTGGTAGACATACAACCTGGAAATAAAAATGGACACTGGCCAAACATTCAGTTATGTTTTGATGCTAGGCCTACACATTCCTATATTAGCTCAAAGCCTATAATTAGTCAATAACCTGGAGGCCTTTGTATGATGTTGTATTTTTAATACATGTTTCACTGAAAAATATTCTACATAAAAACAGACCAAAACCATACAATGAAATACCAGTGAGTAAATAAAAGACATATAATATTGATACATGCTATTATACAGGTAAGCCTCAAAGACATTATGCTAAATGAAAGCAGCAAAACAAAAGACCATTTATATATAAAATGTTCACAAAGGAAATCTGTAGGAATAAAGTGTGGACTCACAGCTGCCTGAGTGACTGGACACCAGGCATGAGACTGGGCTGATGGAAATGTTCTAAAACTGATTTGAAGTGATGGTTTCAAGACTAAAAAAACAAAAGAAAAAACCCACTAAATTGTATACTTTAAAAGTATGAATTTTATGGTATGTAAAGTTGTTTTAAAGAAAGAGATCAAGCCCAAGAATAAAATTCAGAAACTACAATTCAGCTCCCAGTTTTTAATTTAGTTTTATCACACTAAATTAGATTGTGGTTTTAAAAAATGCTAAATAGGAACAAAATGCCATGTGATTTTTACAACTTACAATTCCCTGATAATAACATCCACACTGAAAAAATCAAATAACATGGCTCTGGTAAAACTAAAAATCACTAGCCCACAGACTGCTAATGATTATCTGTTAAATAGCTTGAGATATCAATGGTGGCATTATTTTCACATTTTCAGAGTTCATCTTTCTCTCCCTCCAACTGTGTTGTAGAAATGAACTATCACAGCAAGGAACAGTTTTCATCTAAATCCCCTTGATTTATAGATGTGGAAATTCCAGCCCATTAGTAAAGTGACCCACAGAGTCAGAATGGGAAAAAATGAAAGGCAGAAAAGATTAGATTATGTTTTCATTTTTTTTAAAGAACATGTCATGGCAGTGTATGCCCGTAATCCCACTACTTAGGAGGCTGAGGCAAGAAGAATGCTTTAAGTCCAGGATACAGAAACATCTCATCTTAAAAAAGGAGGAAAAAAAAAAGGAGATGTGAGATGGAGAGAGGTGAAATAATAAAGATGCCTAAAATAAATATACACAGTCCTTCAGAGTTAGCAAAATTAGCAGCTCAACTGTCTGAAAGGGAAGTGGTTTTTAACAGTTCTGTTTTTTTAAAGCTTTTATCAAATTCTCACCCATCTGAGAATAAACCCCAGCATGGCTAACATATCATGGAGATATACAGCACTTGGTATAGATGCTGTTCTCCAGCCCTGTAGTAACAATAGTGAATGATACCCTCAAAGAATAGACACCAATTCTGTGGTCTTCAAAAGGCACACATGAAGGCTTTCAAAGTAAAAACTAATGCCACCCTAGTATGGGTGGATGAGCAGATTACAATAAAACTTTGATTTTTAAGAACTCAAATTACCTATTTTGTTTTTATGTCTTAAAAAACCCCAGACATAAAGCAAGCACCATTAAATAATTAGGTGAAAGGTCATCTGGCAGAACCAAAACAATGTTCCAGCTGGCATCTGAATACTAAGATGACTCAGCCTAGATTAAGTGGACATGTGTATCTTCAACACCCATGTCACTGATTTGGGTCTACAGCTTCTGCAACATACCTATCATGTCTACTCTTCTTGGCAGATAAGTCATCTCCAGAGGCAGGTCTTCTCTTTTTCCTTGGGGGCATCACTTTACTAAAGCAGTCCGAAGAACTGCAAGATCGCAGGCTTCCTACAGAACAAATTCAGAGAACACAAAATTAAAGCATGGCACACAGTAACTCTTTTAAGCAGCACTACTGATGAATTAGAAATATCCATGCCTTGCACTAAAGGGCTTAGGATGTTATCAGAAAATGCTATAAAGAGGGAAAATGGTTTTTAGTTCCTCTTTGAGAAAATAGTTACGAAACGAACCTAGCAATGACACAAACAAGTGAATTCTCCCCACCACCCCAAATCACACCAGAAATAGAATCGAATGAAATTTCAATTTAGACTCCAAAAATCTAATGGAAATTGCCTAAACTTTCTGCTTCTCCTAGATGACAGTGTAGCTTCATGTACAAATGTCCTACTATGATATTTATGCACTTCATGAGGCAAGGCCAGCTCAACCAATAACATTGACTCTGAAATACACACAAGCATGTAGATGTATGACATGAACATGAACAAAGTTTCCCCAATAGGCTCTGTTGTTTCTGCTCCTGGAACTACTCTGCCTCTCTCAGTCCAGGCTTATAATCAGGAAGAATAACTTTCATTTGGTAAAAGGTGTTAAAATTTAACAAAAGATAATAATGACAATATTGAACACTTACTGAGAATTACTGTGAGCCAGCCCTGTTCAACGAAGGCCCTATCAACTAAGCTAAAAGCTCATTAACAAATCTATGAAGAAAAAAATCTCTGTTGTCTCAGGCAAGAAAATGAAGCAGAAAGAAGTTACTACATAAATGGCAAAACTGAGATTCAAACCCAGGCAGTCTTGCCTCAGACAGTCTTAAACCATTATAAATTACAAGACAAACATCTTGCTTTGGCACAAGTGCTATCAGAACTGTCACTTAGTTTGCACAATAACTCTGAACGACAGGTAGGTCAAAAGATAATCTCTAGCAGATAGGAAAACCATGGATCAGTCATTTCAGTGACTTTCTAGACTCACACATTTAGATGAATTCTAGGCCACACATCTTTCTTTCCTTTTCTCTTTAGCCCTTGGCTGAAGGCCCTAGACTCTCCGTGAGCAGTGTGGACAGGACAGCATGTGAAGGTGCGAGGGTTCAGTGACCTGCACTTGTGTTTAATGTCCCCCCTCTCAAAGCCTTATGCTTTTCCAGAGGTGGCTGAATCTAGAGTGTGTGACTGACTCATGGTAGGGCTTGGGATTAAGTGTGTGAGTGCCCCCTGACCTAAGTAGTCTGAATAAGATAAAAGGGGCAGGAAGACACTGGTAAGGCCCTTCTGTTACCTTTGCTACTGTGTGGGTGCCATGTCATTCCTCCTCTTCCATGTCGGTTTGTCATTTCTGTCTTGGAGCCAGTTGACTATGGACTGAAACCTCTACGAACTGTAAGCCAAATACATGCTTTCCTTTTAACTTCAGGTGTCGGTATTTTGTCTCAGCTATGAAAGAAAAGTACCTAACACATACACACAATGAATGAGCTGCAACTCTTCAGCTAATTAAGGTCTAGGCAACCGCTAACCTATTCGGCTCTCTTGTTCATCATCTAAAGGACGGGAATGGTGATATCTATCAGCATTTTCAGAAAGAAAAACATCCATTCAGTAAACGCATGGTGCTAATCACTGGGTTTAAGTACATACAGCCCAGCAGCAATGCCAGCTCTCAGCTTTGTCTGCTACCACCACTGTGAGATCATGAAAGCAACTCAGAAGCACAGAGAAGGGACCTCAGCAGAGAAAAGCCAGGCTGTCCTCTCAGTTCCACCACACACAGGTCCATCAGGTAAGGAAGGTTCATTTAACAAACAGTATGGGTAGATACACAGTGAGTGTAAACAGCTCTGTCAAAACACTAGCTCTGAAGGCAAGGAAAAAACAGTCAACAGCTGAACCCAGATCAAGCTAAGAGCAAAGATCAAGCCTGGGACCTGAATCCTAGTTTCTATTTAGACTTCTGCCATCATAACAAGTTCCCAGGGTGATATGCTTCAGGGAAATACCAAGCAAAAGTATTCCTTCTGACAGGAGCTCAGATTGGCCAAATGAGGCTGTTGCCCTGAGCATACAGTGGACAGCACCTATGCTAACACAGGCGGCTTGTCCCCTCAGCCCAGATACAAGCAATCTGAAACAGGTGATGTCCAGCCACATTTCCAGGGCCCAGCTAGACCTGTCCTTCCAAGACTGGAAAGTAAAGGGCTCATCAGAGATAAAAGGCACCCATTTGCGCCTCTCCCTACAAAAGCAGGGAAGCTGGGCACAGTGGTACAACCGCTACAATCCCAGCACTTGGGAGGCAAAGGCAGGAGAATCGCTGCAAGTTCAAGGCCAGCACAGGCTAGTGAATTCAAGACTAGCCTGAATTACATAAACAAAATCCTGTCTCAAAAAACAAGCAAACAACCTCCCCAAAGCAGTGAAAATTGGAAGAGTCAGAGAGAGCTGTCCCTGTCTACATGCCCCACTCCTCTTCCCTGTACGGTCTTATTTATAAACAAAACTAAAACATACAAAAAGATCCAAAGATCTGGAGTGACCCAGGCTTTCTCAGGCTGCCAACACAGAGGAAAAGAGGATTTATCCTTGTCTATTAATACCTCAGATGGGACTTGCAGAATGCAGAAATTTGCCCCGCCTAGCTGTGAAATCTGTGATACTGTCCAGAAATGTAGAGCACTCCTGACACCTGGAGTGTGCTTCTCCCTCTCCCTCCCTGGATGTGTTAGGGGTGAAGGAAAGACATTTTCTTCTAAGAGCAGTCATGGTTTCTGAGCATCTGGCCTGGCAGTAACCTGTCTCCATCTGCAAGTATCTGCAGAACAGAGGAAAATGCACTTATCTCCTCAGTCCATAGGAAACGAACACTTTAAAATAATGTCTTCTCCAATAAAACTTAATACTAGCTTCTCTACCATCTGCTTCTCCATAAACACTGGTTTAATGTCTGGCTTTCTCTGAAGCCTACTTGTCAAGCATAGCATGTTTTTGGTGAATCAACAAACATCATAAGTTAAAAACATTTTTTTCCTTAATGCTGTTTAAAATTTCACAAATCATTTTTTCTTGCATCTGTGTAAAACCTAACTCATATTTGAAACATCCCAAATTTGGCTATTTATTCTTTCATCTAGCCAACACTTTTATCTCTTAGCTGAGACATGACCCTCTTTTAAAGTAAGTGACTGTTACAAGGCCAGTTCTCACCAAAATGCCAAGTCTATTCACTATTCAGCCTCCCTGATGTCTACCACAGTTCAGCACTCTAATGCACCAGGCTGGTGGCCAGCACTCACAGGAAGGATGGGGCCACTCAGTCCCAGGGAAGCCAAGGTCTAAGAAACACACAGCTTTGCTCTTCCAAACACAACCACCCTAGGACCCAAATTGACAGGAAAAGTTTCACTATTGAAAAACTACGTTTTAATGCAATGGAAAAGACGTTTAATGTAATAACGTGTCAATATGAACAAAATCAACAAATACACAGAGCACCTAACTAAAGATACTTGTCCCAAACTGCTCCCTTCCCTCACTGATCAATCAATCCTAACTGAGCAAGAACAACTAAAAATTTTTAAGTGCGCATTTAAAGGTTTGCAATATCTTGTTCACTTTACTTGTGAACACAGCAGTGTAATATAGTATCTTATAGTAAAAAGATATTTACATTATTGAGCCATTTAGTAGATTCATAATAAATACTTGTATAAATGCATTCCTAAAACATGAATAAATAAAATTCTGCTTAAAAATGAAGAGTACATTTCCAGAACTTGAAATATCTATGACTAGATAATACAACATCATTTCTGACTTTTTATCCCATTTGTCAGCAAAACAAACCCTTGACTATAAGTTTCCTGCCAGGCAATTTTTAAAAAATAAACATGAGGATGTTTGCTTCTTTAAAATAATTCAACGGCAAGTTTTTAAACAATAAAAACATTGAAATCTAAACAAATGTTCTACACATTTAATTTACTTGTATCATTAAATTCTGACTTCCCTGATTCAGACTTTTATCACTGAACCTATTTCAACTATATAAACAAGATTATGTCTCAAATCTAAACTGTATCTTGTTATCTTTAAACTATAAAAAATAGGACACAAATACAAGCAACAATGTTATGGAATATTTGATTCAGAGAATGAACTACAGATCATGTGCTATTATTATAGGTAAAGGCAAACTATCCAGACTGATGTTTTGTTACATTAACAATGATTAGAAAGCAACTTTTTTCCCCCCAGTACTGGGGATTGAGCCAGGCAGCCTCCTGCAATGTAAGAAGTAGTCTTCAGCTGAGCTACATCCCTAGCACAAAGAAATCTATCATCTTTACCAAATAAAGGAGTTTCTAGCACTTCTACATGGAATGGACAAAGAAAAGGAATCAATACACCCTTTGCCAGAAGCTTTTAATGTGCTGTTGGTCCTGTAGGAATGCAGTACTCAAGGGTTATGATTTGAATTCAGGTTAATTCATTCTATTTCATTATTTCAAGAGAACAATTTTTTTAACTGACCATATTTTCAAATAAACCAGTCAATAAATATCTAGCCTTTCTTCACACATTCAACAACTGTAACTACTGCCAAAAATTTTCAAGAGGTCTGTCCTAGTACGTCAAAAATAGCCAAGAAAATCAAGTTTAAAAGGCAACTTGAGTTCACCTAGAATAGACCTAAGGCCCTTGAATGTCCATCCAGTCTGCTGTTCTGGTATTAATTTAACTAGACATTTGACTCTTGGGGAGGGGGAGTGTCAATAAGGTGGTTCTTGCTATGTAGTCCAGGCTGGCAATGAACTTATGGTGATCCTCCTGCCTCAGCCTCCCCAGTGCAGGGGCAATGCTATAAATGCATTACCTGTTTCCTGTTTTTTGTTTATTTGGGATTTTTTTGTGGTTGTTGTTGGTTTTCTTTTGTTTTTGTTGTTTTTTGTTTTGAGACAGGGTCTTGCTATGTAATACAGGCTGGCCTTGAACTCGAGTAATCCTCCTGCACAGCCTCCCAAGTGCTAGGATTCAGGTATGCACCACCTACCTAACACACCTTCTAAACCTGTTACTCTTACATTATGCCTGGGTAGGTGTCCCACTGCCTCTATATATCTATAAAATATATATTTAAAAGAATATGTGTATGTATTTACATACTTGTCATTTTGCCTTACTGGCCTCAGTAAAATGAGTCTCTGTCAGAATTAGTTTCCCATAAGACACATCAATTTGGGTGTTCAATTTCTAGTCTTTGCAAAACAGGAGGTTTACAGAATTAGAAAGTGTTTCTCACTTTTCCAGACTTAGAGAAATTGCATATTTCAATACAAAAACATTCTCTAATTTTTCATTTCAGTGAACTTGTTATACCATAGCCTTGTTTCACTTAACATTTTACATGGCTCATTTTGCCATTTAGTATTTTATATATCACTACTTCAATTCACTTCTCCCTGAACAATGTCAAAAACTTAATAATTTAAGTTAATAGACTGCATTTAAGACATCTTGCCAGTACCTAATATCTTATTTCATTTTCTTGATCACTCACTGAAATGCTTGAGTGAAAACTATGTAAACACATAAATTTTTATCCTACTATTTAAGACAAAAGAAATCTCTTTTCCTTTCCCTCTAAATAATTTTGACTTCTGACACCTATCATCTTCCTTACACTTTTGTTGTTTTTCTCTGTTTGACATTTTTAATTCATTCCTTCTGCTCTGGGCTACTTCTGCAAAATTAACTACTGATTCCAAACAAATTCTAAAGACAGGATTTGGCTCTTCCACTTGCAGTATTTCTAGAAGCTGCTCAAACTCCTGTAGGGCTAACTTGCTCAGATTTCCAAATAGCAAAAGTTTTACATTGTATGGGAGTCACAAGTGATACTATTAAAGACAAAATGTTAATGAAGTAGACTAGTCTAAGCAAAAATTAATGCTGAGACACTGGCTAAGCATTTATGAGACATAGGGCATTTACCAGCATGTCACAACAAAATGTCAGACACAATGATAACCCCCAAAACGGAACAATAGGCCTAAAGCAAAATGTACTTCTTTCACATTCTTTACAATTTAGTTATTAAAAATGCCACATTCCAGGTTAAATAATTAGGTGTGAAATTTACTACAGAAAAGTACTCATTTAAATCAAAACTTCAGAATTAACTACATAATGTACAGGGATTCAGAATTGAAAAGATTACCATAGTTTAAAGAAAGACAACCTAAGGTATCACAAAAACAAAATTGAGTTTTAAAAATTAAAACTAAATTTAAAACATCCTGACAGCCCAACAATATATTTCAGAATGAAGAAATAAATGCTAAGTTAAAGAAACAAGCACATAACAAACATACCTAAGCATAAAAATGTCTGAAATTGTCAACATCAAATAGTGTGCTGGGAGAAAGGGGTGGGACAGTGAAACATGGAGGAAGACCACCACTGTTCACTTTATTAGTTCTGTGCTATTTAAAGTTCTCCAACAAGCACCACTGTGGCCCAAATGTCTGTGCCACTCCAAAATTCTCATGATGAAATCTAGTCCCTAATGTTTTGGTGCAAAGAGGTGGGGCTGCTGGGAGTCTTCAGGTCATGAAGGTGGAGCCTTCCTGACCACAGTTAGTTAGTACTCTTCTAAATGAAGCCTACAGAGCTGCCTCCTCCCACTATGTGAGGACACTGCAAAAAGACGCTATCAATGAGGAACATGCCCTCACCAGACTCCAAATCTGCTAGTACTCTGATCTTGGACTCCCCAGCCCCAAGAACTGTGAGGCAGAAGCTTCTGTTGTTTAAAAAATACCTAGTCTAAGGTTTTGGTTTTTTTAGAGTAGCCTGAACAGACTAGGACAAGCATGGATTCATGTATTACTACAGTAACTTTCAAATTTTAAAACATAATAGAACAGTTTTTGCTAGCACCTTAATAACTTAGAAACCACATGAACTTCATAATCACTAACAGTTTAGAGAAACTGTGATCAAAATGTGGTCCCCAGACCCTCCACACATCATCACTCAGGAGCCCGTTAGAAATGCAAACTCAGGGCACTCACTCCAAATCTAGAAAATCTGAAACTCCAGAGGTAGATCCCAGCAATCTATATTTGAAACAACCCCTGGCAAAAGATTATAAGGCCAGCTAAACTAAAAACCACAGGGCTAGGGATAATTTATAATAATCAAGTTTCAACATACCCACTCATCCTCAGGATCTTTTTAAAACACACATACACACATGTGCATGTGTATAAATGATAACCTACCTATCAAATCATTTTTCAGCCCAATTTAACATTTATAAAATATCTTTCAAACTGCATTACTACAGCACCTTTTTAGTATAAACTAAAATACTTTAGTAAAGAGAAAAGGTGGGTGGGAGGTGACTTAAAACTTTTAGAGAATTCCTAGTCCCTTCAAAGTAATTAAAGTGCTTTGCCATATCCAGAGTCCCAGAATACACTTCCTACTTCTGGGAAAGAGCCATAACATGGCTGCCTTCACTACACTCTGACAGACGTCCTCAACCAAGTAACTTCCACTTAATGAAAGGTGTGCAGAGCATGTGTGGCTAATATGTCTCCTATTATTACATTTACTTAAAATTAAGTAGTGTTAGCATTTACAGATACCTGTTTGGTGATCGTCTTGGCCAACGTCTTCTGTTAGATTCTGTAAGAAATATCTTTATTATTACCAAGAATCACACACTAGACAACCAAGTTAAAATTAAGTATTTTCAAAAGCAATTGATATCTACAATTTAATTTTTTTATCAAATATACTTGCACAAAATGACTAAACAGTTGGTAGTTTTATCTTTAAAAAGATTGACTTACTAGCTTATTAAGGGTGTGGTAGATCTTATGAATATTTGCCAGTGTTGAGAGATGAGAGTTCAGCTGAAAGTCTTTAAAATAAAAGAGAAAATTCAGTGTCATTTATTTCCAAACCAAAAAGTCTTGTTTTAAAAAGCTCAAAAGTAAAGATAAACAAATGCTTTGATAGCTCAATTAATTTGAAACATAAATTTCCAACTAAATGTTAAAGTCATGAAATTTTCATGTGAATTCTAAGGTAAAATGGAACTATCTCAGTAGCTATAAAATTCTGATAGCAGTGAACTTGAACTTAATAGAAAGATATAAATAATGTTAATAAATACAACAAACCACACAAACAGAAGACATATCTCAACTGAAATGTGTTCACTTTCCCTTCCCTGGAATTTCTGGTACAATAAGCAAGCTCCTCGCAAGAAAATGCTAGAAAAGCATCCAACATTCAGTATTTCTTACAATATATGTATTTTGTGGTCAATTATATAGCACAGAGAGCAAAGCCAGCATCTCAGCCCCTCCCTCCCATTAAGAGACAGGCTTCAGTTACTTGCAGGTGCTGCAATACTGAAGTGTGCCACAGGAACAGAAATAACACTTCCAAGGGAAGAGGCAAGAACAAAGAGTGCATCCAGGATTCATCTCTGCTAATTTCAGAATTACAAATGAAGTCACACACAAATAACAAATGAAAGTATCCAATCCTAGAAATCTGAACATGAAACTCTAAATTGTTGGATTTGAGTTTCTCATGTCAAGTGTTTTTATAAAGTAAGTATGCTTAAATCAGATTATACAAATAGGAGTTGAAAGTTTATGAATTATTTCATAAATTTTAAGGTAGGGGTCAAAGCCAGGGCCTTATGTATACTAGCAAGCACTTTATCACTGGCCTACATATATCCCAGCCTTTAAAGTATTTTCACACAATATCAGAATTTATACTAGTATCACAAAGGTTAGTATGAAAGTTACCTTGGAAATATATTGTAACTCTCCAAGTTACACCATTCTGATAGAAAGAGAGAAAAAGTCACCTTTCACTGGAATATTTTATTTGGGGCATGTATAATATGCAAAAACAAAACAAAACAAAAAACAAAGAGAAGACTTTCCCAAGTAAGTTGTCTCTGCTGGGATGGACTCACTGGGCCGCTACTGTGAATCTGGAAAGCAAAGTGGCTTTCCAGCTCCTAACGAGAAAGGTTTACTTTCGCTTTTAAAACTTGCTAGGAATCCAGCAGTAGACAGGCCTCTAGGGCAGAGGGGCCTGTAGGGCAAAGGGGCCTAAGGCAGCAGAACCATTCCCAAGTGGGCAGCAGGAGCAGCAGCCACATTCATACAAGTACATGCACAAAGTACTGATGTGGCCAGGCCAGGTACAGCCATCTAGAATAATCCAAAGACAGTGTTTTTGACTGGGTGAAGCCAAACCAAGGCCTTAGGTTCTAAGCAGACCTCAGATATAGGCACATATTCACTGCTGGTATCTGAATAGTCTAGCCACACTTGAGATAAATGACAAGGAGGCACAGAATCTACAGCTTCCATCTTAATCAGTACAACTACACAAAAAAGGCTCAGAAAAGTATTTGGAATGAGTGTGTGCATGTATAAGTAAGTACGTACTTACTAACATTTACATTTAATAAACACTGATGGGGTCTTTAAAGCCAGATGCAGCAACCTTCTCCTGTCCTGCAAGAGGCTGTGAAGAGCTGAATTATCCAACTCCTGCATTCCGCTGATATGCTACTAAACCATCTCCCTCTTTTTGTATGTACTCTTTCAATTTAAAAATGTTTGAAATGTAAATTAACTCTTGGGCCCCTAAAAAACTCAAGACCAAAAACTGAGACAACCTGAGGTTGTAGACTCTCTTCTAAGGTCCCAACAGGAAGAGAGGAAGCAAGAGCCATCAGAGGCCAGTCCCTCTGACCCCCTCCTACTATGCTTTTGTCATTTAACCATTCTGCTGTTAATTCAACTGCCAAAATTCACAGAATCTAAACAAGCTTAAGTTGTTAATATGAACATGGGAGAAGTGGAAAAGGTAAGAAACATATACTGCTCTCAATCTGAAACTCCAGGACTTCCAAGAGTCACCCTTACCCATACTTCCAACCTCTCTCACCATGCTGTTGTCCAATTGCACATTCTATCCTGCCCTCCACCCTCTCTGCTCCCAAGTTTGAGTACACACACATGCACGAATACAGATACATTCCCTCTGTCCTTGCCAAAAATACCATTTTGCTTTTTCAACCTGAACTTGGGACCCAATAGCTGTGTTCAATCTCTGGTCTACCAGTTACTTAAGCTAAATCTTAATTTTTTTACCTGTAAAATAACAGGAAATGTGTCCTTCATACTGTTACTGTAATAACAAAAATATATAATCAGATGTCTATCACAATGCCTCGAACATAATAAAGTTCTCAATAAAAGCTATCAATTACTAGTGTTCTTGCTTAGAAACGCCTCCACACTACACGGCCATCTAAAATAGTTTCTACTTTGCGTGGGTCCACATCAGGCCCTGAATCAAAGACCCAAAAGTCAGAGCTCTCTCTCTGACTTGAGGCATATGTCTGAGACATCTCTATAGCCTATCACAGCACTGCTATATTTATACACCACCAACTGATGTTTATAATGATGCTTTATATGATTCCAACACCCTGGAAAAACAGGCATGTTTTCATATATAGAGGAAGGGTTTTTTTATTATCTTCTTTGTGACTTGGTTGGGCTGTCCTATTATTTTGTTTCTGTGGCCCAGAGATTGAATCCAGGGCCTTTGCACTAAGCTATATCCCCATTATTCCCACTTTTTTTTTGCTGTTGAGACATCGTCTTGTCAAGTTGCTAAATTGCTCAGGATGGCTCAAACTTGTGGTCATCCTCCATCAGATTCCCATTTACAGGGCATGTACCATCATGTCCAGAAGTTTCAATTCAACGTTAACAACAATAAAAAGGTAACCCCAGCACTCTGGAAAGAAGAGCACAAGTTCAAGCCCAGCCTGGACAACTTAGCAACTCATCAGGACCCTGCCTCAAAATAACAAAGAGCTGGGAGGTAGCTCAATGAGAAGGCCCTAGGTTGAATCCCAGTACCACACACACATACATACACACACATACACACACACACACACACACACACACACACACACACACACACACACAAAGTAAAAGTAAAAATGTTTACTTCACAATTCACTTGGTACCTGTCAGCAATTAACTATTTTCATATCCAAACCTTACTACCACCACCCCTCCATCATCACATCACCTAAGGACAAAAGAAAAATAAATGAAACCAATAACCTGAATAAACTTTCTTCAGTTTCACCAACATAAATTAAAGTCACTGGGTATGGTGGCATAGACCTGTAATCCCAGAACTTGGGAGGCTGAGGCAAGAAGACTGCTGTAAATTCAAGGCCAGCCTGAGCACAGTGAGTCAAATACATGGTCAAGACCCTGTCTCAAAGCATTACTCCAAAAAAAGTTAAGGAGAAGACATGACTTTAAGGGTGGGGGGGAAGAGCATTAAAAGATAAATTCACAAAGGTTAACACACACTGAATTTATAGTTTATCCATTCAGTGCTCAGGACCCTGAAATCTACAACTGATTTCATTCTTAAGACACAGAGGTTAAGGATCAAACGTTTTCCAGAAATATTAACTCATTAAGAAAAATTTCCTGCTCCTATACTAATTCCAAATGCTAAGTACTAGGTTAGGTCAACTGCATCCCATGATACCACAGCTTCCCCTGGGAGAGCAGTGACTGAGTCTGACCACCCTGTGTGATGGACACACGCCTGTATTCCACATTAAAAGCTGCAACTAGCTTTGCAAACAGACATAGCCTGCTTGATAAATAGCTTGCCTAAATTATCTCCTGGGTACTCATAAAACAAATGCTGAAAGGGTGTAAAACTGCCTTGTTTCGCTCTAATCACTACTCACTGTGACCTGTACTGTACAAAGGGAAACAACATCACCAGGACGTCACAGCCCAATCCCCTAACAGCCCCAGCTCTACAACCCACAACATACAAGACTTAAAACTTCCAGGAATTAAATAATTACCAAAGGACTCAAATTTAAAAGTTAACAGTCTTAATGGCTTATTCCCACGAGGGTCAGAAACTAAACACATAAAAGCAAAGCTCTTCTTTCAAGGAGTCATTTGTAAAATGTTAACTGGAAGAAGCTCTTAGTTTTAACAGCAACAAAAAGCAATAATATTTATAGGAATAAACTTCAATGTACGAGACAAATGAAGAAACAAGAAAAGTTCAAGACATAAATGCAAAAACTTTATATTCCTGAAATGAGAAGACTATTGTAAAGCAATAGCTTCTTCCTTCACTAAACTGCAAATTAAACACAATTAAAGTCCTACTCTTATAGCTCTGTAGTTCAACCCCTCAAAAAATAGCAAGCTCAGGCAACCTTGGTAGGCTAAAGTTCATGTGGAAGAACATGTTTGACATGCCAAGGAATTATTGAAAGAAAAGTGAGGGAGAACTTATTCTACCAGATATCAATATATAATATAAAGTAGAAGTTGATAAATTCTCTGTGAAAGGGCGATTTGTAAATAGTCTAGGCTTTCTGGACCTTTTTAACCTGTTACAACTGCTCAGCTACTGTAGCTCAAAAGTATCCATAAAAAATACATAAATCACACGAGCATGGCTGCTTTCTAGTAAAACTAAAAACTAGGTGGTACGCCAAATTCAACTTGTGGGCCACAGTTTACCAATGTCTGGCATAAAGGTAGTTATTTAACAGTACAGTGTGCATGCAAAAAGATAATTCAGTAAAAGGAAGTTGAGAAGCACATGTCTGTATGTATAAATAACATAATGTGATGAAATAGCATTTCAAATCACTATAAATGAGATAATTATTCAGAAACAAGAGGATTAACTAGCTAGCTAGCATGTGAACAAATAAATCAATTCCAACCTCATCCAAAGTTACAGGTGGAAGGAAGGGGAAGACATTCAAAGCAAAAGGAAACTCTTTTTCACGGGCTCAGGGCCCTGCACATTCTGCTTCTACCCATCCCACCAACAAATCTCCTACCTGTCTTCCCCTTACTCATTCTGCTCGGTCATAGCCAGCTTACTGCTGCGCATCAACACTTCACTTCAAGCACACCCTCACCCGAGGGTCTCAGCACATGCTTCTCCGTCTTGAGTTCTTCTCCCCCAGAAGCACGTGGCTAGCTCTCACACTTCATCAGGCTGCCACCTAAATACCACCTCCTTACGGCACTTTGTCACATGGTCAGTCATTCTCTTCTGTACTCTTCACCATCTTACCATGAAGCATGCTTTTCTTTATGACATTAGTATAACCTCAAATTATACCATGTATGTGTAAATTACTTATAAACTCCACAAAGCCCAGGAACTCAAGTCTTGTTTACTTTGTCCCTAGTATAGAACAGTATCTCACACATATTAAGTGTTCAATAAATAAAATACAGGCACAAAACTTAAATTTGTATGTTCAGAGAATTTCAAATGATCTTCAAATGTGACAAATGTCATGATAAAAGTCAAAACAGCCGGGCGTGGTGGCACATGCCTGTAATCCCAGCACTCAGGAGGCTGAGGCAGAAGGATCGCTGTGAGTTCGAGACCAGCCTGGGCTACATAGTGAGTTCCAGGTCAGACTCAACTACATAGTGAGACCCTGTCTCAAAAAAAAAAAAAGTCAAGACAAAGGCAAAGACTAGAAGAAGAAACAGCATCCTGCTCTGAGTTTAGATTTAATGTCCTATGACCATGTATTTCCAAGTAGATCACCAAAAGTTTTACAAGTATAACAGATAAATATGGCACAGTCTTACTCTGCTTAATGGAAACAGCTACAACAATTTGACGTAGAAACTCGTGATTATGGTACAAGGACTGTAAAGAAGTTTCACCTTGGGAGTGCCTATTTCACCTAACTGCATAGTAGAATGCTGATGAAAGCTGAGGAGCACTTCTGTGACAGTTGGGTGCTAGAGGAGTGCTCTAATCAAGAGTTTATTAGAAGATCATTCTAGTACTGTGGTGGCAAACATATGGCACATGTTTTTTCTTTTCAGATAAAAAGATGTTAATGTATGAGCTTTTCCTAAACTAAAACCTCAGTATTTAGGTTCAATGTAGTGTTGGTACTTCGCAATAAGTGGGTTTTGGGGTTGCAGTTTGGGTACTTGTCTCTAAAAGTTTCACCATCCCTGCTCTAATGTGTAGCACAGTTGAGGACCTGGATTCAGACTGGCCATTTATGGAGACGACTGGAAGTGACTGAGGTGGGAAATAAATAATTAGGGCCTCAAGTTAGACAATAGTAGAAAAAGGAGGAGAGACAACCTTTTAGTGCAATGGATTTTTAGAAAATAGCCATTTGACTCAGGCAAATTCAATTCTTAGCAAAGGGAAGAGGAGTTTAGTTGTCGCGTGAACTGCCCTCTGTTCTACTTAGTAAGCATGAGACATGAGTAACCCAGTCACTCAGTTTCCACATGGCGATCACATTTTATGTATCACAATGCTGTATGAGCCCAGTATATAAAGAGATGTATCTTTCATAATACTTGGTCCCTAAATGCGTACCAGCTGCTTCAACTAGTACACAAACAATGAACCAGCAGTCTGTTCCAATGCTGGAGAGAAAGGAGCTGGCAGTGCTGAATTTACCTGAGGCAGTCTCCAGTGGGGTACTTTGCAATTATTTCCAATGGTATTTTTAATACAGGTCATTTTTACCTTGAATATGAGCTTTGGAACTAATTTCTACATAAATTTCTATATAAAACAAGACTGCAAAGAAAATACCTATTAAATTGCATTGGGAAATGAGAGAAAGCTCATGTTTCATGTCCTTGTGTCTGATTCTCTTCATGTTACTAACTCAAGCAAGATAACCAAGCTGGGCATAATTCACATCTTCAAATTGCTAAGCCAAAGCTATTCTTCTATTCTACCTTTTTTTTTTTTCTGTACCAGGGATCGAACTCAGGTCTTTGCACTTGCGAGGCAGGTGGCAGCACCACTGAGCTAAATCCCTGGCCTCTTCTACCTTATTTCTAACAAGAGCAAAAAGATCTACCTGCACACTCCATAAAGTCTGAAGCATTTCCTACTCAAAGTTCTTAATAATCAAGTATATAAACGTAAAACTAATACTAAAGAAAATATTAAAACCAGCTAAATCCAAAGCAATCTACCAATTTCAACATTTTCTAAGAGGGAGAAAAAAGTCTACAGCAGTAAAAGAAAAAGAAATAAAAGACATCTAAATAGGAAAAGAGGCCAAAATATGCTTCTATACAGACATATGATTCTATATATAAAAAAAGTCCAAAGACTCCACCAAAATATGGTCACAATTCATAAACTCAGTAAGGTTGCAGGACACAAAAACACATAAAAGCAAATAGCTTTTGTATACACCAATAATGAAATTGCTGAGAAAGAAATCAAATCTCAGCTACCAAAAAAAAAAAAGCAAAACAAAACAAAAAAACCGCTAGGAATAAATTTAACCAAGTAAATAATCTTTACAATGAGAATTACAAAAATCCAGATAGAAGAAATGAAGAGGACACACACACAAATAAATAAACAGAAAGACATCCCATGTTGATGGATTGTAAAAATATT